GCCGAGCGAGGGGCCTCCGCGGCCGCCAAGTCCAAAGCCATTTCCATCCTGCAGAAGAAGCCTCGCCACCAGCCGCTCCTGCCGTCTCTCTCCTCCTTCTTCTTCAGCCACCGGCTCCCAGACATGACAGCCATCATCAAGGAGATCGTTAGCAGAAACAAAAGGAGATACCAAGAGGATGGATTCGACTTAGACTTGACCTGTATCCATTTCTGCGGCGGCTCCCCTGTGCCTTTCTGTCACCCTCTCTCCCTTTAAGAACGTGGGAGTAGACGGAGGCGAGACATTGCCATAGTTTGGGTGACTATTGCATTGAACCCCGGTCGAATTTCTAGATTTTTTTTTAAGTGTGTGTGTGTGTGTGTGTGTGTGTGTGTGTGTGTGTGTGTATTGTGCCTCTTTTGAATGCATTCATTCAAAAACTGGGGATGTGTTCGGCTAGACGGGACGCTTGCCTGGTTGCAAGTGTCAAGGCACCGGTTGGTTTCTCGGTCTATATATCAACGGGGTCTCTTCCCGAAAGGCTATTGTCCGTTAATGCAGAATACAGTGCGCTCTTAGGGAGGAGGGAGCTTGGGGAAGCCGGTCCACGAAATGAACAGAAAAGTAGGCGCTTTGAGGTCGAGCATGTTTCGATTAAATCTTGGCTGGAGGCCCCAGATCAAGGGTATCAGACCAGATTAAGATGAAAATTAGTGTTGCACGTACGCATATTGCATCAGAATCTTGCAGTGATTGTGCTTAGTTTCCTGGGTTGCCTTGATAGATTCTTTTGAAAAAAATGTGAGCTGTGAGCTGATTTGCATAATTTTAGAAGCAGAATCATTTGCAGTCTCTATGGTGCTCCTGGAAGGGCAAAAGTGGGGTTTGCATGTGTAAGCTAAGTTAATGGCAACTTTGACCTGCGTGTAGAAGTTTTGTCCTTTGAGGTGAATCGTGCCATAATGTACCTCATAAGGTGCTCTTCCTAGATCTTTGTTAAATTTGCCTTTTCTCTCCTGATGGGGTGATGTAGGATAGAGCATGAAATTTGCAGTTCAAGTAGCATTTTATATTCAGTGCTCTTGTTACACCTAATAGAATGGAGATTGAGTGGTTTTTGATCCCAGATAATAATGTGTAGGTTCAAGGGATTGTGTGTAGCAAATGGTGATTGCAGAGATTAAACTTAAGTTCTCACTTGAAATTTAAGTATGGTGATGCCAGAATTGCTACTCAACCTTATTTAGGTTTCAGGCCCTCTGACATCTTTCTGAATCCCTTAAATTTACCCTGACTCGTGTAGGATGTCAAGTATAATTTACCAGCTAATAACCAGAAATGCTGGTGAGAGTGGATTTCTCCAGCTTCAGATGGTAGATATGTTAGCTTTTTTCAGTGTTAAATTTACTGAGTCAGCTTGTTGAATAAGACAGAAACCCAAGAAATTTTAACAGTGTAGTGTATAGTTTTGATTGTCTAAAAGTTAAGCCTTTGTGCTTAGAACAATAACGATTATCAAAAGGTAGTAATCTTCGCAGTTTCAGATATATTAAACTGGTTTTGATCAAGGATGGGGATAGAGCCCCTCCTTTTTTTTTTTTTTTTAGAATAGAAAGTATCACAGGGATTGAGAGTTACTGATAGGCCAGTGTATAAGGCGTGAGAAAACAGAATTAAGTTATTGGTTTGAGGTGACTGAAACATTCGATTAAGGCCAAAAATTTGGTGGTGTGAATTGTAGCAGTGGACAGTAGTTAGTTAAAATTATGTAATTGCTTAAGTGCTAATAGAGTATTCTTAGTAAAAATGATTTTAGCAAATGTCAGTAAACATTTTGCTTTAAGGTAGGATGACACTACTGTGTATATGTCCTGCTAAATATTATGGGGAAGGTTTTTTTTTTTTAAAGAGAACATTTTATATTTGAAGAAGTTATATTCCTTTGGATATGTAGTTTCACATAAATGTGCACAGCTAATTTTGCCCAAGTTTTGTTTTGAAATGATGAAAGTTCTTGAAAAAATAGCACTACAACACTCAAAATGTTAAGTTTTCTAAGTTAAAAATAATATTGAAAAGATAATTGGAAATTTTGGAGGTTGCATTAATTGAAGAACTTCATTAAGGCTGAATTTGACCCACTTTGCCTAAAAATAATTAGTTGTAGGAAAACTCTTCTGATTTGTAACATTTCAAATGTGTATGTCATTGACAGTCATCTAGATGTATAAGAACAAATTAATTAAATGTTTGTTTAACTTTTTAAAAAAGCCCATTCAAAAAAACTTCTAGAATGCCTTTTGGTACACATAGTTCATTTATGCTATTTATACTTATTTGATTTAAAATTATTAGGATTATAAAACTAAAATTATTCTACCTGGTGTTTATATGTGAGTGGTGAGATGGTTGACTATTTCTCCTTTCATTTCAGAGCATGTGTGCCTATATGTGTGAAATTTTCTCTGAAACATTCTCTAAAACTGCATATTTAGTTATGGAATGCATAGAAAGCAGTATCAAATATTGCATCAAATGACTAATAACATTTAATTTCTAGAGTTGTGGTTTTATTGAGCCAAATGATAATATGAAAAAATTACTTAGGAAAAAGTCAGTGAAGGGCTTTTTTTTGATAGTTCCACTTCCAATAATTTTGATATACAAAAACTGGTTTGCTTGGTTTCACTTTAGTGTTTTGTGTTTATTGTGTGGGGGGAATTAAAATGGCCATTGAAGCTTTTCTCTGGCAGATTGTAGGATCTATTTCAACAGCTAGCCTGTTGAAAGTTAAATTATTTTATGAAAGTAGCAATTGGAGTATTTTAGTTGATAAAGATTAACAATGAAGTGATTTCTCAAAGAAAAAGTGAAGACCATAATTGTAAAAGATTTTTGCAAAATTGAATTATTCTAAAAATAATTTGTTGGCAGGGTTTTATTCTTAATGTTAGTCTGGAAAGTAGTGCTGAACATGAGTCTATAAACTATTTAATGTCTTTAGATTTCATGAAAACTTGAGGCTTCTGGTATTTTCATTGTTTGTTAAGTTTGTGTCTTTTCAAATAGTAACCTTTATAGGAAATATTTTTAACTTGTAGAGAGTACAGTAGCTATTGAAATTAGCTGTATTCTCTCTTAAGATTAGTGATTACTAAAATGACCGTGTTGTGAAGTTTTTTTTTTTTTTAAGATTCTACTCACAACTTTTATTTTACACTGTTATGTATCAAGTTGTATTTCTTTCATAAACAACGTAAGTGGGCCACCTAATTGCTATGTGATAATTGACAAACTTTATTTCATATAGATTATTTAAGAATAAAGTGCATCTCAAAGGATTGAGTAATTTACAGTTTATATGATTCAATATAAGGAAAAAGGAATTTTATTGCTGTCTATTGTAAATATTTGCACAGTAGTTGTCATCAATGCAGCTTAACATTGTTTATGATATACTAAAATGCTAAAGGAATAGTATGATAAAATATGGTGACATATAACCACCTTAATTTTAAATTCAGTTTTCCAAAGATAGTAGAGAAAGATGCATTTGTATGTATTACCTTTAAGAATTTTAACAACATGAGAATGGTAGCTGGGGATATTATTTTATTTTAATTTTTTGTGTGGAGCAATTTACCTACTTTTTCCTAATAACCACACATAATGTACTAACCTCTTAATGTTGCAAAATTCCTTGCTTTTTGGAAGTGAAGTCTTCAATTCTTTCTTTCAAGGGTTCTTATTTTGAGATTTGCCCCATTTGCTGTTTTTCATTTGGTGATAGCTTAATACTTTTAAGTAATTTTTAAGGCCCTTAAGAAGTAATCACTTCAGTCACTTTTGATGGAGGAGTATTTATTATGGGAAAATCAATTCACAAAGTTTTAACGTTAATTGACACTCAGTAAACATTCTATTTTTAAATTTTTACCTCAGCCTTTTTAGTAAGACAAAAGTATGGGAAATGTTTTTATATTAATATTATATGTGAAATTGGAGTTTGTAAAGAGAGATTTAGAAGTGTGTATGCATATAACAGTTTTTTACTTATTTGAAATATTAGGTCTTGGCTGTACTATAAGGATTTAGCTTCCAGAATATATGTTAGTAATGTAGTATAAGAAATTTATTTGGTATCATGTTTGTTTTTTTTAAGACTCCATTAGTTATGAATTTTTCTATTTCATAGAACCCTCATTCTTATTCTTTCTCTTCCCTCAACCCCCTTCTTAGATAAATTTGATTTTAAGTATAGTCATAGAATTCTTTTGTGGACTGAATTCATTAAGGGAGGTGTTAGGATTTGTTCTAAGGATAGTGATTTAAGACATTTGTATCACCTTGTGAGATTGGGGTCAGTAATGATTTTAGTAAATACCTAGTTCTGTTTTACAGTTGCTTTTTATCTGTTAGTTTTGAAATTAGTGCAATTGCTATCAAGGATATCAGTGATGTTGAGGTTGGACTTAAGTTGGTAAGGATTTATTGAGTAAATTGATATCATAATTCTTTCATATAAGCCATATGTAGCCACATGCCTTCTTTGCTAGATGGTCAAAAGTATTTTGGTCTGAATTATAAGTCTCTTTGGAAGTATTGAATATATGCACTTACCAATGTAAAATGCTTTGATTTGTCAGGAAAGGTGAAGTTAGTGTATTGGATTTGACTGTTTATCCCCTACTTTTTTGAAAATTTTTCATTGGTTACAGATATTAACAAGTTGGTTCTTTTAATATAACTTGCACAAGAATAAAAATAAGGTTGTTGGAAAAAATATTAACATAAAAAGAATAAACATAATTTAGGGGGTGAAATAATTTTGGATGGGAAGTCTTAATTTAATTCCAGTATAGTTAAGGCAGATACTTTACATTTGCAATAGTTGGCAGTTAAGAGATGGGTGGGTATCTTCAGATTACTAGGATTACTCTTGGTGTTGAGAATATTGACAGATGGCTGAACCTGTCAGCAAAAGAATAAATACTTAACTTGTACACAGAATTTTTAAACACTTACAAGTTAGATTCACTGTTCAAAAATATGAAGAGTGAATCTATATGGACAGTGTATCTAATTTTTAAGTGTGTGAATATTCTGTATATACAGGTAAATAAATACAGTTAACAAATTACCA